TTACCTGACATTCTGAGGAATTGTCGAGCCAAAGCCATTTCTGATTTGCTGAATCACAGTATGATAGTCCCAAGACTTATGAAACTCAAAAGCACTCAGTATATGTCCATTTTCATGTAAGTATTGCTTGAAAGGTGGCTTGCAAATCACTTCCCATGTGGAATCAGGAAGAAGTATTACTTCTTTATTAAAGCTTTCATGGTATTGGATCCCTTTGGGTCTTAAAAAAGTAACATATATTATGTAGTTAAAAGAGAACAATTCTAAATATCACCAAGATAAAAACAAAAACATGAATTATTTATTATATGTTTATGTAAAGTGATGCCAGTTATCCAGACAGAGTTCTCTACATTCTCTATTAAGGAACTACAATAAAAATACACCATGAATGCTGATAATCTTTAGAGCAAACCAGGTTACCTTCTTCTCTTGCTGGTAGACCAAGGTCCAAAACACTGCTGGGCTTGGAAACGGGGAATTGCAGGACCAGCCAACCATTGTTCTAAGGTAGAAAAACAACCTTCAGCACTGAGGAACACTGGAACAATGCTTGTTGTCTGTGCGAAACAACACTAAAGCTTTAAAGTAAAGCAGTAAATTTTATTCCAATTAATTCATTTACCTTTTTTTTTTTAAATAAAACTAGGGAAACACTCATCAGGGCCTTGTTTGAAAAACAATTGCCAAACATGTCAACGCTTATTTTGATTTGCATTTTAGGATTAAAGCAAGAGCAGACTTTATATTGATGAACCGTTTGGAATTATTTGACCAAAGCGGTGTTGTGCCAAAGTAGGTATCCCCAAAATAATATGTTTCCCCACCAGAGGGGGGTGCCCGGCTGTCGGATCTGCTTAATAAAATGATGATGTAATGTGAAGTATTATTGAGCACAATCCCTGACCTGCTAACATTAACCTTTCCTATTTCAGAGGGGGATACAGATTATAACAGGCATCTGATGTAATCCGTCCCGTCCCCCAGAACTACAGCAAAAAGCCTTCCTGCTCAAAGAACAACAATCATACAACCCACAAATAGAGGGAAATTTGTGGTTTATTTAATTTTTTATGTTTCTAATGACAGAAATTGAGGTGAGGTGAAATGAAAACACTACATGTTTTCAATAACAGAGTTTTATTTGACAAAACTACACAAAATGTGGCTCAGCAAATGCTTTATGGTCACAAAATGACGGCAAAATAACTCACTTACGGACCTATTTGTCTGCATTTCATCGTTTTATTTACAGAAACCATCATTTTATTAAGCAGATCTGACAGCCCCCCGCCCCGTGGGGATACAGATAGTTTTGGGGACACCTACTTCGGCACGACAGGTTTCTGAGAGGAACAAGTTAATAAAATGGCCAGCTCCTATTTAGAAAACTATATCTCCACGGTATTGGAAACAGAATAAAAGCAATATTTTACCTTGATTTCCTGGTGTCACAGCCGAACTTCTGCTAGCTGCTCCAGCACGAAACAGAGATGCTAATTCTGTCTCAACAGAATCACTGCGGGC